GGAGCCTGTTTCCGATTCTGTGTCTCCCTCTCTCTCTGCCCCTCCCCTGTTCATGCTCTCTCTCTGTCCCAAAAAAAAAAAAAAAAAAAAAAGAAGTGGGGGTTCAAACAGCAGACTGGGTCAGGACACAGATGACCCTTCAACCCGGGATAGGGAGCACATCTGGAGCTCTGAGTGAAGACACAGATGCTGATGAGCCCAGCTGGGCGTGAGGAGAAGCACAGGATAGTTGGGGGAGGGAGGAGTGCTGCAGACAGGGAGACTTGGCCACAGGCCACAGTCGTCCTCTAGAAAAGAGTGGTGGAGAAGAGGAGATTCAGTCCTCGTCAGCCATCTGCAGGATGGTCCGGGCGTGGGGAGTGAGTGCAGGCTGAGAGCCCCTGCAGAGGACGAATCCCTGCCCTGGTGAGGCCAGAGGTGGGGCTCCACCCACACCCCTGCAGGCACACCCCAAATGTAATCACTGCCTTTCATTACCTTCTGGGCGAGTTTCAGCTTTCCTCCGGTACTGTGACATCCTGCAGTGAGCTTGCATCAGAAATAACCAGGCTCCCTAATGATGGTTTATTTTTCTATTTGGAATGCCTTTGTTCCCACAGCCCAAGAAAGGTTAGCAAGTACCAGCCAGTAATTTATGCATGTGGGCCTTTTCAGGTTCAGGATGGAAGTAAAAGAAAGATCTAGATCACACACCAAGCACATTAAAATAAGCAAAATTTCATGCGGGATATGTTTATATGTCACATCCCATTCAGAATTTCAGTTGACAGTATGTCCTATCCCAGAGAACTTTCTGGAGAATTCTTTATTATCCATGTTAGTGAGGATTCTTCTGATTGCGAATACTTAAAGGTAGTTCGGATTGGCTTACTGAAGAGGAATCTGATTGGCTCAACGACTCGAAAATAACCCGAAGCCTATGAGTAGTTTGGGCTTTAAATGTGGCTGAACCTCAGGGTTCCCAAGGTGGCTGTTGCCCCGTGTCAGCCCGCTCTCTGGCGGGACCTCCCCACAGGAGGCTTCCAGGAGGCCCCTGGGAAATATTCTGCGGCCATAGCCCCAGCAGGAAGAATACTTCTCTCTCCCAGTAGCCCCGGCAGAGTCCTTGGGGAGAGCCTCGCTGGTCCAGTGTGGGTCCTGCTCTCCTGTTCCCGTCCCTGAACTAGCTGCCGGGGAGGGATGTGGAGCGTGCGGGGGAAACTGCAGTCGGGTGCCGTCTTCACACAGGGACAGGATGGCAAAACCAGACGTCGTAACATCCACCCTCAAAATGATATTCAGCTGTGAACGGCTCACTAAAAAATGGCATAAAACGTTCGTTCGACCAATGGCTAAGTATCTGCTATGAGTCAGTCACTCCAGCAGGCCCCGGGTGCCACTTCTGCATCCGACCCGCCTCCCTGGAGTCCTGCTCTCCCTTCTGCGGGCGTGTGCTTGCCGTCAGCCGTTACCACGCTGCTGATCAAACTGCCCCTTTCCTCTTACTTTTGTGTAACTTGTTAACACGCTGGTTACATTGCTTTCTAACTCAGATTTAACAAAAAACAAAAATTTGGTATTTGTATCTTAGCAAAACTGTGTTTTTACCATAACAAAGTGCCACAAACTGGATGGCTTAGGACAACAAAACTTTGGAGGCTAGAGGCTCGAAATCCAGCTGCCGGCAGGGCCACGCTCTTTCTGAAGGGGCCACCGCCCCTGCTGGTCCCAGCTTCTGGTGGTGACAGCAGTACTTGCCGGGATGGGTCGTTGGCTTGTAGACATATCGCCCCGGGCGCTTGGCCCTTTCCTTGGCTGTGTGTGTGTCTGTGTCTCCTAAATGGACCCTGGTGCTGCTGTATCGGGCCCGCCCTGCTCCAGGACGCCCTCATCCCAACCTCATTACATCTGCAAAGACCCTATTTCCGAAAAAGGTC